GGGGGGAGTCCGGGGAGGCCGCAGGCTCCGAGAAGGGGAGGGGGGCTCTCGGTTTGCAGCGCGTGGAAATATTTTCCCTCCTGCTAGCTCCTGAAAAAAACCCAAGCATCTTTTTCCCACTGGAAGAGACGGGTTCTCCCGCAGTGGGCTGGAAGGCACATTTAAGGTGATTTTCAATGTGAAAGCGGCATGAAGGGGAGCACCCAGTGCCCCTCGGACTCGGCAGCCTCTGCTTTGCTGGGTGCATGGGCGTTAGGTGCAGGAAGCTGACAACCGCGTGAAGGTTCAGGCCTTGGTCGGATGGTTTGCATGCAGCCGGGGACTTTCTTGAAGACTGCGTGATAACAATGCTTTACTTTGCTGCTGGGCCCAGGCAGAATACATTTTCTCGTTTACACAGATTGTGTAAGAGGCTGCTTCAGTTGTCCTTCCAGACCAAATGAATATTTCATAAGTATTTTGTGGATGTATTGTGGAAAGTGCTGGAAGTGTTTGCATTGAACTATCATGAAGTTTCTGTTCGCTACCATGCATGTACGAGGGAAATGACACAAATTCGCAACTCATAAATCAGTATTTGTTCCAAACCCGAGGTCTGAACATCACAGTGTGCTGGTTGGGCAATAGGAATTTGCCTTGTGATCTTTGATTCCACACAAAATCACTTACACAGACTAAAATTGTGAATGCTTGTAAGTAGGTAGCTGTGTTGAAGAAGACCACAGAAGAAGGAGTCACACGCTACTGTATTCACGTACTGATGATAGAGTGGCCATGTTCCTGCCGGAAGCTCCATGAGAGCGGTCTGCCAGGTTCCTGAATATGATGAAGTTGTCATTAAACAGAAATCCTGAAAGTACGCAAATACCAGGAAGCTTAGCCAGGTTGTCTCTGTAACAAGTCTATCCATGCATACATGAGTATTTTTTTTCTTGTTAAATTTTCTCAGTATTCACATAAAAGCTGTTGCACTGAAGTGTGGAACTTGACCTGATTGCATGCCAGGGACACGTTTGAACTTTCAAGAACTTTTGATGGGTACAGGTTGGCACTGGCTAGTGCCCTATAGCATCTTTCAAGCAGAGCGTCATGGAGATGGGACGCATTCTTGCTGATAACATAAAAATGAGTGGACTGTGTCAGACCAAGGCCTTTTCTCCAACAGTGACCAGAGATGGATATCGAGGAAAAAGTAGGAGGGTGTGGCTAGCAGTATGCTACTTCCCCCAGTGCACCCCTAGGAACCATTTTCAGGTTGGGGATGCCCAATCGGCTGTTATGTACAGCAGCTTGATGTAGCCAGAAAACCAGCTTGCTGTTCTTGGAGGAGGTGGATGCATAAACTCAGTGTTGAGAGTGAGGACTTTTTAAGGAACTTAGGACTATTATTGTACAAAACTTTCTCAGTGCTCTCTCAAGTTATATTTTTTTTCTTGCTTTCACAATAGGGTTATGAATACAGCCGGAGTGGGAACCCTACCCGGAATTGCCTGGAGAAGGCTGTGGCAGCGCTAGATGGAGCTAAATACTGTAAGCAATTAATAGGTTCCTCAAGCAAGATGTCAGCATGTGTGTCTCCTGACAGTGTCTACAGTAGACATAACTTGGGGAGCAAGGACATGGAGTTGTCAGCAGCAGCTGTGTCACAGCAAGGCTTTCACAGCCACTGACTACTGGTTATGGGCAAGAGCTGCTTCGTGGTGTGAAAAGAGTCCAACACTTATCATTCAGGAAAGTCCAGCTCAATTATTGGACTTTCCGTAGTGACTTTGCTTTGTCTTGCTGCATTTGATGCCTACGCTAAACTGAATCCATCCTTGTGCAGCAGCACTGAATGCAGTGGGAGCGGGAGCCCCGCAGCAGCTGTTATGAGACTGTGTTACCAGTGTTCATCCTGGGTTCCACCCTGTGTAAAATCAGGCTGCTGCTTTTACTGAATCCACTTAACAAGAGAGATAGCATAAGTGAGAGTGACAGAACAGGTTCCTTTTAAAAGCAAAGTGAGGAAAGCAAAGGTGAGTTTGACAAGGTTGTATCACATTAAAATACATTCTGTCTGCCACTTGTTCTTTTCTGTTTTAGGTTTAGCTTATGCTTCTGGCTTAGCTGCTACTTTGAATATTACTCACCTGTTAAAGGCAGGGGACACGATTATCTGCATGGATGACGTCTATGGAGGTATGTAAAGCACAACTATGTTTTTGATCTTCATTGTGCAAATGATTAAATGTACCTATTTGTGATTCTCATGAACCTTCTGAATTTCCCACGTAGGACCGTACTTTTTCTTTAAAGCCTTTTTATTTCATGAGAACACAGAACACTCCTGTCTGATTTTGGTGTTAGAAATTCAAACACTGAAAGATTCTGTGGCACAACGTGGAGGTTTAAAAAATACAGCTAACTAGTAATATATGCTTGAATGAGGGGAAAATAGCAACATCCTAGCCTTGCACCAATTTGTTTGCAGAGCAGGACCCCCTGCAGTCCAATGTAACACAGCTTTCCAGCTTCTGGTATTGCTACTACTCCTTTCCTAGGTTTGACCCTTTACCAACCAGCATTTTGTCTGGACTGTTTCAGACAACTATTCTGCCATCTTCCCTGAAAGCACAACTTGCACCTGTTACGCCCATGTCTTCTGAATGCTTCAGTGATGCTGCAGCCCCCTATTAGGTTTTGATAGTGCATAGTTTTTTTGATCCATTCTTCCAAGAAACTCCCTAGGAACAAACAGGGTTCATCCACCTCTGCTGAAGTCCTTCAAACGGTTGATGCCACCCAAAAGTCTGTAGTAGGGAAGTCTGCCAGGATAAGCTGTGATAATCGGTGTCCTTAGTGCCCAACTCATGTTTCACTGATCAGCGAAGCTTGTCTCCCTCCATCTGCTTCAAGGCCCTAGCACAAAGAGATCAAATCTGCTTTGTTTTCAAAGGAAGGTTAGAGAGGCCAGCAACAGGTAGCATTTTCCCAAGCAATAGCTGGAAAACCTTTTAGCAAGAATAATCACCTTTCCCATCACTAGGAGTGATGGGAACTCACACTGACTGTTTGCCAGTCAGTTCTCTATGCTTATGTGTATTAGGTATAAATACACACATTTGCTTTTAATGTCTTAGTTCTGTCATGCCAGATAGCTCTTCTCCAAAGTACATCTGGAGCCAAGTTGAGTGAAGACAGCAGGGATCCCTTGTTACAATCTGTCTCGTGATTTCACGGTCCTCCCACCACAGAACTCAGTAAATCAAAGTCATTTGGCCAAAGCATACTGTCAGTTCCTTACTTCAGAAAGGCTCATAGGTGTATTTTTCAAGCAAAACCAGTTTGCCTGCTCATTAAAGCCTCGGCCTGTGGTGGTTTCTGAGGAGATTAATTTCGTTGTTTCTTCCCTGAATTTTTTTATACTTTTGTTGTAAAGAGACTGGCTTCCCCACAGACAGCCTTATTCAGTAGACTTCACACCCCATGACATGGTACATCTGCAGATGCCACTGGCTGCCGTGGCCAGTATGTGTTCAGCCCCTTTATTCTTCCCTCGGATATTAGGGGCTCCTTGTCCCCTAAATCCCTGCTTGTTTTTCTCCTAGGCTGTGTTCTTCTGGCTGTTCCTAGTCATCTTTCTGGCTCGTGTTCTTGCACACTGCAGCCTGGTCCTTTGTCAGCCATTTCCTCGCTATTGTCTGTGCTGACTCCTTTTTACCATGCGGGCTTTACTCCTCCACCATGCTTGCCCTGTGCAGCCTTTCATACTTCAGCCCTGTAGTAGCAACCTTTGAGTCACTGGGTACTGAGTGCTGGCATGTGTCCCTGCTCCCTTGAGAGTACACTACCTTTGGTAAGCTTTTAGTACGTTTTTTGTGAAAAGCCTGGTTGGATTGGAAAGCAGTACTGTGCTTGCTAACTCAAATAAGTCCACAGTATTCAAGGTTGTCAGTAAAACAGTAAGAAAAGGAAAAGCTCTCGAGCAATGCTCTAAAGCATATTGCCTGGGATGTGTTTAAGAGATGCTGAGTTTTGGGAGGTGTGAGGAGCTGTAGGTAGTTGATACCTCTGAATTCTGAGCCATTGCTGTAACTTCTTAAAAGGGCTACTTTTAGTGTAACCTCTCATTTCCATCTAAGTTTTTTTTGTAGTGTGCTATTATTGAAAGTATGTAAGACTAAAACAACTTTTCTGTGGTTTGTATTTGTAGAGTTGACAGCCTATGTGAAAATTTCCCATGCTTGAATAAACTTCTTACAGCGCAAGAGAGAATATAGCTTGTTGTAGAAATGTGTTTCCTAAAAAAAAAAAAAAATAATCATTCAGACATAGTGTTCAGCACACAAAATCATACCCTGCATGCACTATGACTTTATGGCAAACTGCTGTTCTGCCTAAGTGAGTAAATGTTGAATAACCTTGGCAGAAAGACCTAATAAATTAATTTTTAATCCAGGCAGTGTCTCCAGATAGTCCGTATGTTGCACATCTAGTGATCAACTGGTTGCTTCTGGTTTCTTCTTTTAACCTTTCCAGTGAAAGACTTCAAAGACAGAAAGGAAGGAAATAATCACTTTTTTATGTTCCTTACTGCAAATTTATTTAATGGAATAATAAGAAACACAGTACCTGGAGTCTTCCTCTTCATTCTTCCTCTCCCAGATTCTCAATTAAGCTTATTAAATAGAAAAAAGAGTTTGAAAATATGTCGTGGAAAAAAGTTATTAAAAGTGGGATGGGGGAAAGAGAGTATAAAAACTGGAACTGCTAGCTTGTGCATGGCAAAGGGCTGGAGGAAAAGTTAGAAGTAGGCAAATTAAAAGGGGTCTATTTAGTCTTCTGATTAAAAAAACCCAAACAGTTATTAATTGAAAGTACTTCATAAATCACTCTGATTCCGTATTCCCATTATTACTTTCCCATGATGTTTAAAGCTACAGCAGTCTTTAAACTTTTTAGAAATAAAAAAATAATAATGTGCTATTTATGGTGTACAGCATAAAACTGTACCCTCCTGACTTTCCATGGATGCGTACAAGAGACTGGAGATTAGTGGAGGAAAGTTAAGGAAGTTGTTTCATTTTGTGTCTCTGATTTTTTGTTTTGTTTTGTTTGGGTTATTTTAGGCACAAACAGATACTTCAGGAAAGTAGCCATGAAAATGGGTTTGAATGTAGTTTTTGTTGACTGCGCAAAAATGGAATGCCTGGAAGCTGCAATTACACCAGAGACCAAGGTAGGGGAGAGGGAAATTGCTGAACTTACTTGCTTAATGTCGTTAAATAATTTTATTCTTGCTCTTGTTGTATTGGGTGTATGTGTCAAGCAGTGGGGGCTGCAGGGGTGGCCTCTGTGGAGACAGGTTGGGGCACAGCTGGCTCCAACACGTCCCCACTGCAGGCCACTTAGTGACATTTGTGGTGCCTCATTGAAACATTTTAAGGGCAAAAAAACACCACAGAGAGAGAGGAGAAGGGAAAAGGTAACAAACAACAGAGGGAACACCAAGGTTCGGAGGAGGAGGTGCTCCATGGCACTGGAGCAGATAATCCCCTGCTCTAGTGGAAAATAATTTAGCTGGAAAAGGCTTACAAACTTTTGGGCGTAAAGACTTTCTTCTGGCTATGTCAAGTCTTCTTCAGATGGGATACACTTCGGTTTTCAAAAGCTTTGATGTTCTTCCCATGCATCAGTTGTTTTTGTGGAGAATATTACCTCTCCCAAGAAACCTTGCCTTTCTTCAGTAGGGACACTTTCTTATTTCCACTCTGCAAACCTGCATGGGAAGCTGACACTCAACGAGTTAATGGTTAAAAGCACTTATGACTTACACAGGTATCATCACCAGCATTGTAAAATCTCTAAACTGATGTTTTGTGTTGTTGAATTACTGCAGCTTGTTTGGATTGAAACGCCCACAAACCCCACACTGAAGGTCATTGACATTCAGGCCTGTGCAGATGTAGTACATAAGCATAAAGATGTTCTTCTAGTGGTAGACAACACTTTTATGTCTGCATATTTCCAGGTAAGCACTTTGTTTGTTTACAATTACCCCATTATTTCAGTGTATTCGAAGATACATTTTTAAAATGGAAGCACCACCAAGGAACTGTAGTTTTGATCTGTGCATTGTAAAATTACCTGTTCTGTTTCTAAATACAACCCATGTACTGCTGCTGTTTACATTAGTAAAGATGGTATGCAAAGTATTTTATCACTAGCCATATACCAGTATGATACCAGCAAAACCAATATAGCTCAGCAGTCAAGTGAACACACTGAATCAAGACAGTCAGGTAAGCCATTGGGAGAATGGCTTCTCTGTCATTCAAAAATCATGTTTTTTAGTTCTCACTGATGGAAATCAGGCCTATTAGAAAACAGGACACTTTTTAACTTTGGCCTTTTTATACCAATTCTTTTGTATATGCTGTTTATGATCTGTTCTGAACCACTTGATATTCTAAAAAAGGTAGTGGTAAGAAAAAGTTAAAACAGGCAAACTTTGTTAAATCTTTCTTTGAGACATTCAAGTTACCTTTTTCTTCAATATTTTGGTGAATGTGTGGCTTAGAAGTTTGTAATTTTGATCTTGAACAACTGGCATAACTTTTCTGCTTTTGTAACTAGAATACATGAAATGAAGACAATTTCTTAAGTGCTAAAAATGCTTTGGAATAATAAACTTCAAAGTCTTGTTCATCTTAACACGGGCTAGAAATATTCATGTATATTTCCCAGGAGATCAAACTAATCCCTTGTATTTTAGGTCTAAAGTAAAACTTTTTTATGAGTGCAAAAGGCAAGGTGTCTTTGTTTTTGTTAAGAGTACTGAGATCTTTATAAATTAAGAGAGTTTACAGAAAGTGTTAATGCTTAGCTAAAGCAGCACTTGAGTTTGTCTTGTACATACCAAAAGCTTGGTGATTTCCCCCCCCGCAATGTATATTACTTCGGAAAGACATGTGTGGAAAGAAAAGCGAGCATCTGGATATATGAGCTAGTTAATGTATCTTATTGGCCTGGTGCTAAGAGAAAGTCAGTTGTAACGATTAATTCTAGTAAGCATAGTAGGTAATGTCTTTAAACCCCTCCAGACTGCTGCTGATACACTGTACTAAGAAGATCATAATTTCAGAGTGATTTACGTAGCAATATTGAATGTAAAAGGCACTGGTGTTTATGCTAACGTTCTCCTGGCTGCGCATTGGGAATGCACATTATGCACGTTCCTTGAATAGACGTCTGTGTTTAATCTGACAGCAGCAGTCTTTTATTCTAAATCTGCTTGCTTCGTTACCTTTTAACATATTGATACTCTTCAGTCTTTATAATACATTTATGTTACGCGCAGAGTCCTTCACTTAATGACTGATTAAAAAAAATGTGTTGTTCTTTACTTCTTGCCCATCAACATCTCAGTTTGCCTCACCTTAAAAAGGCTTCTGGGAAGAAAGCTGGGAGGTAAGGGAAGAGAGACCTGGCACACAAAACTCTTTGCACTTTCTTCAGGTTTTCAGTTCTTTTGGTGCAGTATCACCAATACTGATATCTAGAAAACAATGCAATTTTTTTGCTTTGCAGAATGTGTTGAGGTCTTCATTTTCTAAGGAAATATACTTTAGAGCAAATACCATTACTTATTCCTGCCTCAGCTAAGCGATATAACTAATTTTTTCAGAAATACGAACAGACTATATGTTAGATGTATTCAATCACTCCTCTCCCTGAAGCCGGTGGGAATTAGACCAGTGCTTTTAAATCACATTTTATTGTGGGTTCTTTTTATTGTACTTATCTTGAATTCAGAGTGCTTTCCTGTATTATTGTTTTTGTCACATATTCTGTCTATCTTCATTCTCAAGTTTTTGTGTTTAAGGTGTTAAGTTTTGTGTTAAGTTTTTGTGGTTTTTTTAGTTTCTCCACCTATTGTTATTTTCTGTGTCGGATCACAGCCCTTCTGGATAGCTTGAAATGAACCAGAGTGCACAGAAGCTTTAATCGGACCTATTATTTTCATTTCATTTCAGCGTCCTTTATCTCTGGGGGCTGATATTTGTATGTATTCTGCAACCAAATATATGAATGGTAAGTATGTGAGCTCAACACAACTCAGGCTGGCTAAAAGCCATTCTGGCTGCAGGCAGTTCACAAAAGCCAACGTGTCTGCCAGTAATTCTTAGATGGACCATTAGAGGAGGTGGACCATTGAATAGACCATTAGTCTTTGTAGCTCCTAAACTATCCCTGGGAGAAGGAATATTGGCCTGACTTCAGGTAATAGACCTAGAGGTGTTTATAGCCACGTTGGCTTTAAGTTGACTACAACAAAGCAAGTGTCTTCAGTAGAAGGTAGCTGCCAGAAATTATATTAAGGTTCAAAGGAGGTTTCATACAGCTGTGTTGGAGCCTGTCCGAAAGCACATTCACTGTGTTGTTCCCCAAACAGCCAAGACTTGGAGCTAACGTGACTATAGCTGTGTTGTAACCATATGTCCCTGGTGGTGCAGATAGAAGTGGAAGTTTTCTAGCGGGTGTTCACTCTTGCTAAGACAGCAGCCTGGTGCTGCTCCGCAGGACGCACCTGATTCCTGTACAATGTCCTGCTTTTTGGCAGTTAGCGGTGGTGGGCTTGGGAAGTGTCTTGGGGCATGTGTGCGGCACACGGCAGAGCACACTGCTGACCAGAGCTTTAGAAAAAGCTGAAATCTGCTTTATGGCTCATGTGCTGCACAGGAAGGATAGCAGTAGGAATGAGAAGGAACCCAGTGTCTTGCAAAAATGGGACTGTATTAGCACCAAGACTGAGAAAATGGGGGTTTGTGGCAGAACCCTGGAGCAGATGGGGTGGCTGATTCTGTTCTTGTCTTCTCCTTGCATTTTTAGGGCATAGTGATGTTGTAATGGGACTTGTTTCAGTAAACTGTGATGATCTCTACGAAAGGCTGAAATTCTTACAAAACTGTAAGTAGTCAATGTAGGAAATACCTTAAAATGAATCATATGTAGCTTGTAATGGGAAGCATGTTGCATGCACACAAGTATGAAATCTATCTAGAGATGTAGCTCAGGCATTTAAATGAGCAGAAATGCAAATGACTGCAGAGAAAGTGATAACACAGATGAAGGAAACCTGAATTCTCTTCCCTGCCTTTCACTGGTACGTAGGGTGGTCTTACGCAAATACGATAGCTTTCAGTATGCCTCTGTGGCTCCTCTTTCAAATAAAGTTAATGACACAGGTCTCCACTTCCTAACTGCTTCCAGAAAAGTGCTGAGAGCAGTGTGGGTTGTTCAACATTTGTTTACCAGGGGCTGGTGAGTGGGATGAATTGTCTGGTGGCAGGTGCTTGAATGCAGGCAGCACTCTTCACTGCAGGACTGTAATTCCCCTCTGTCCTTGCTTTCCCCTGGGAAGTGTGTGCCCCGCTGCTCTAGAGGGAGGATTGAGCCGCGGAGCGTCTCTCGAGTGTGCTTCCTGGAGCCACACGCTGGTGTGGTGTGGAGAGCTCTGCCTGTGCTCTGTGCATCATGCACAGAGGCAGGAGATGTGGCACGTCCTGAAAGCATCAGATGCAGAGTGGCTGAGGTCTGTCTCCCACGTGCAGTACCTGCAGTTACATGGGGCATGACTGCTTACAAAGTCTCTCTTTAGGTTATAGTTAAGACCATGGCAGAAAGAGCATAATCGTTTCCTATATTCACTTGGCTTCATACACGAAGAGGGATACAAACCTTTAAATTACTCCTTTATTTAATTTCATCTAACTCATGTCAAGTACATCTGGGGTTTTTTAAACTCATTCATACATCAGAGGATATGCCTGATGCAGAACTTTCATATGTAAGTTGATTTTAACAATTTTACTGTCTCTTAATTGTAATGAATAAATTTCTGTACAGTGTTCTGTCTGCCTCCTGTCTACAACAGAAGGAGTAAAGGTATGGTATGTCTAGTAAATTTAATCCTTGAGTCTTCAGTTTGTTAATTCAGCTCATTAATTGGCTTCCCATGTGTGTGAGATGAAGAAGACAGATTGCATCAGATGTCTTTCCACCTGTCTTGTTCTAACTTTAGAAATTTTGAAAATTAGGACTGTATTTAGTTTTACTAAAAACAAATCCCTTTGTTTTCTGTGGAATTTTGTTTCAATTTCCGTAGCTCTTGGAGCTGTTCCATCTGCCTTTGACTGTTACTTGTGCAATCGTGGTTTGAAGACACTACAAATCCGGATGAAACAACATTTCCACAATGCATTAGCTGTTGCTCGATTTCTTGAGTCAGATTCCCGGGTGGAGAAAGTCATTTTCCCAGGTAGGTTGGCAAGACTTCAGAGCAGGTGACGTCTTTGAGGCTGGATTTGGGTGCTGTAATACTACGTGTCGTTTGTGCATCCTTCACATCTGGTGACTCTGGCTTAGGTGTCCGCCTTGGCAATGGGCTGTTTCTACATAGCTGAGGGTGAGCTACTTTACCCTTTGAAGTGATGGTAATTAACTTAAAGCAACTTCTACAAATTTCAGGCTTGCCTTCACACCCTCAGCATGAGTTGATCAAGCGGCAGTGTACGGGCTGTCCTGGGATGGTAACCTTTTACATTAAAGGAAATCTCAAACATGCTGCTGCCTTTCTCAAGAATTTGAAGGTAAATGACAGTAAATACGCATTACCTTAGAGGGACTTGAGCCTGTACTTCTGAGGGTGATAATGGAAGGAAGTGTTTTTTCTTGGGGTGGGGAGAGTCTTTCTCTGTACTTGCAAAGCTCCTAAAGTCTTTTGGGTGTAACCATCTCTAAATAATAGATTCTTTGTAAATGAGAGGGAAGAAAAGGATGCCTCGGCTCATTTGAAGTATTTGTTTACACAGTGGGGTGTAGTATATCCAGGTTAGCCAAGCACTGCTTCTAATAAAGGGCCTGTGTACCAACCTTTTGCAAAAATACCTGTAGTATTTGAAAGCAGAGAAGCTGTGGCTGGTGTAACACTGTTGTAATATTTCAAAGTACTCATCAGGAGAAACACCTATTGAGATATGACGTGAGTCATGAAGCAAAGAGGGAGTCCCTCAATTTGGAGGATGGTTGTTTGTGTACTTTACCTAAACCATAGGCTTTTGCTTTTGTCTTGCAATGTATTAATTCTGCCTGTACTCTTTAAAGTGTTTGCTAGTCTTGATCTCTGGTTAATTTGTATCCTGCTCTTGTGTTTTTGCTGTTTTGTTCTTGGAAAAACAAATCAGTAATAATTGACAAAGGTAAATTAGAACTTCCTTCTCCTCCCTATCTTTCTTACTTGCAAGCTAATGTCATCAACTGAAAATGAATTTACTAAAAATACAATTTTCCCACAAAATACCCTTTTACGTGAGAGAGAGCATTTAATCCTGGCACAGGAGATCTACCAGTTTTGACAAAAGGCATCAGAGAGTACGTTCCAGAAGTAGTCCCTTATGAGTATATTCACTTCAGCCCTTTAACTTGGATAACCATCAGTTTGTCACTAGGTTGGTACAGAAGTACAGCCATTTCCTTAAACCAGGCTGAGAAGAGGATTCTTTGGTTGATAGGTTTAGTTGTCTGTTTTTTTTTTTTTTAAAAGGAAAAAATAGTCAATATGAGCAACCAGGGCTGGAGAGAAATGTTGAGGGCAGTAAGTGCATTCACAAAAGACAAATCGTGAATCTGTGTTTGAATGCAGTTGGCTCTCTAGAGAGCCTTTTTGTCATCCAGCAATATATGTCCATAATTCAAAGAGCAGTGCTAAAAAAACCTTAACTAACAGTAAGCATTTCACAAACACTAGTCCTGTTAGGCGCTGAGAAATTTAGGCCGGTTTTCAAAATACTAAACCAACCATCAGACCCAAGCAATGAGTGAAAAAATCTGTTCCACCTTATGAGGAGAATCTTAAATGTTTGGGTTTTTTCCCCATCAAGTCTGCTATTTGCCAGCCTGAAAAGCATAGGTGTTAAATGTGAACATTGAGTGATGCTGAAAGAAGAGTATGTAAGGATAGGATATAATCACTTCAACCTTAACTGAAATTTTTGAGATCTGACTCTTACTTTGTTCAGGCAGTCTGCTCTATCCTTCCTCTGAACAGAATGAAAACTCTGGTGGTGCCCAGGCAGAACCTGCTCCCTCATGTTGTGCATTTTCCCTTCTGCTTTGCCTCCATAGCTGCCCATGCATTGCATTGTACGAACTACTCCTGAGTTATTTCAGTTTTGCATCAGTGTCTCCTTAAAACCTTTTTAGGACAAATCTATTCTAAATTTTAATAGCTCTTACCTGCTAAATGTATACTTTTTTCCCTAATTGCAGCTAATACCTTTCAAAATATAAAAGTTACTATAGAAAAACTTAGGAAAAAAAAACCCCAACCACTAAACATTCCTTTTTCATTAACTGTCTCTAAGCATTCATAAACTTACACTTCTTAGGTTAACTGCTGTTTAATTTTTCCCATAGGTTTTTGCACTGGCTGAGAGTCTGGGAGGATATGAAAGCCTAGCAGAGCATCCGTAAGTCATTCTTCATCTTAAAAGTCTAAAAAAGCTGCAGAGTAACAAAAAAGTTTCTGCTGTATTTTGATGGGAGTTCTAAAATTTTCTAGTACGTGAAGCTAAGATATTTTGCACATAAGTGAGATTCAAAGATAGTATGTTGTACAGCACAAAAACCAGTAGCCAGATGACATTCTGGCTACTCCAGAAATGAGTGTGACTTTTGTGAATATAAGAATGCAATGATGAAAGAATTTCCACGCTTCCTTGTTTTAACTGGGAGACTGAGCTGCAATTTGTTGCTATGATAACAAATCCAAGAAATCAGCGTGTGTTTGAATAAGTAGTATTGAGCAGATGTGGTCAAACTGTTGAGGAAGGAGGTCTGCCGTTCTGCCTGCTTACACAAGAGGGCATGTTCAGTATGCTACGCTGAACTGCATCTGTCTCCACGTCAAGTAAATTTTGTGGGAATTTTAGTAATACTTAGTTGCTCTTGTTTAGGTTAAAAGGCTAAAAATAGGATTTTTATGGAATTAGATTATTTCACTTAAATCCAATTTGCTTTTCAAAAAGATACATGGAAAGTTATGACTAAACTTATATGCTAAATCATTTTAGTTGCTTATCGTAGAATAACAGCAAATCTGAAAACACTCAAGCAGTTGAAAGGTAATTGCTAACTGGTGGATGTCAGTGACTGAGCGTATGGGGGAAATAGCTTCTTACCTATATCCTCCATAGCTGGTGATAATAAACTCTTCAATGTAAGTGGTAGTTTGACAAGTGATCTGAGAAAACAGAAGTTAAAAAAAAAAATCTGGAGTTTTTATACTGAATATTGTATAATATATACAATATATTGTATACAATTATATAATATATACAATACTGTATATATATACATTTATATATACACACATTGTAATATATACAATTGTACAATACAATTATATAATATATACAATACAATATACTATAGCTGTTTCTCCATATGCTTAAAGTAGAGCTTTTAGATACTATTTTTCAGAAAAAAAACTAAAAAAAATCTGGAAGGAAGAGGAATAGGATTTTTTTTTCCTCCTTTGTCATTTCCAGATTGTTAAGTATCCACTTCTTATTAATCATTTGTAGCTTGGAAATACTGCGTTGAAACACTGGGAGATACAAGTCACTGACTTCTCTGCAGTTCACATAATTTACAGTAACTGATGATAGGATCTCTTTCCATCTGTGGGTTAACCAGCAGGTGGTACACAGAAGGTGTAAAGTCTTTATGGAACTTCAGGGGATGCTGGCAGGAAACCCATTTCTTTGGTCTTTACCAATAAAAAGTAAACACTTCTTAGAAAAAAGGCTATTTTTCTTCCTCCAGGGCCATCATGACTCACTCTTCAGTGCCTAAAGAAGACAGAGAAGCTCTTGGAATCAGTGATACATTAGTTCGCCTGTCAGTTGGTTTGGAAGATGAAGAAGATTTACTGGAAGACCTGGACCAAGCTCTGAAAGCTGCGGTAAGTGGGTTGTTACCTTAGTGCTGTCACTCTAAAAATAATTTCCCCTCTAGTCCTCTTCCTTTCTCACTAAACTGCTGGTAATTCTTACCTCACTTAATTTTTAAACTACTCATAAGCAGACCTTGCAGAGTGGATGTAGGGTTTTAAAGCTTTTGTTGTTAGGTTTCTCTTTGCAGTGAAGTTTACAGTCCTTGTCAGTCATGATTTGAATTCATGTAGATTCCTAGAGCGGACGGGATGTCCCTGGCATCCAAATGACAGGGATAGCGAGGGGAGGCTGTCATATAGGCATCAAAGTGCTTAGTATGTGCTTCAGATTTTTCATGTCATAGTTTTAGAGAGGGTTGAAATATATTAAGAAGCTTCAAGAAAAGAGCTTCTACCAGACAGTAAGTCCAATATTTGAGTAACGCTATTTCCTTTACAAGCACTACTTCTACTCCTCTACCCACAGTTCTGTATTTCAGACAATAGATTAAAATTGTTTTTTATATGTGGTGATTAATGTCATGCCATATTGTGTCTTTTCTTCTCAAGGCAGGTTTCCTAAAATACATGAGGTGTGTATGTGTTTGTGTACGAGTATACACACATGCATATATGCAGGGGAGAGGCTGTTAAATGCGTATTGTCTTTCAGTCCTACACACCTTTGTGCTATGCTTTGGAACGGCTAATGCTGTGACTGAAGGAATAATGGGGGGTTTTGCAAGCTTTTTTTTTTTAATCTTTTTTTTTTTTAAACTGGAAAGGATTAGTCATAACTGAAAAGTATGAAGTATGGGCACTTGACTTTGAACTAGTACATCAGTCTGATGGATCCCCTTTGGCAGCTGCAGATACTGCAGTTTGATATACCAGTATTTCATTGCAGAATATGCTGTGTTGTACTCTACCTTGTATTTATCATGCTGTGACTTATCAAGGGCATTGCCAATGTCTTTGGTTTCTGCAATTGCAGATAACTTGTTAGGTGAGCTTCCCAGATGATCCTAGGAAGCAGACCACATCGTGTGAAAGGTCCTTTCTTTTTCCCAGAAGGACGTCACTGACCTTTGGGTATGCAGGAGAATTCCTCTTGATGTGAAATCTCATGGCAGCTTTAGATCTGAATGTGTGAGCAAGGCATTTAAACCAGATGCCTAAAGCCTAGCCGGGCACTCTGCCTCAGCCTCTAATTTTGTCTGTTCTGCAGAGCTTCAATGGAAGACTAAAATCCCTCCAACCTTCATAAGCATAATTATGTGTTGGAGAGAGGAAGGAGAATTTCCTCTTGATCCTGGTGGGCAATAAACAGCGCCCAGAGGTATGGGATGGCTGCACGCAAAGCGCCAGCCAGTCATTTCAAATGCTGTTGGAGATCTTGGGATATCTGTTGCTCAAGGATGCATACTAGATCTTTGGATCTTGTTGCAAGCATAGTTTTTGTTCTCAGGAACTGCCAACTACTGTAACACAATCCCATCCATAAAATTTGTTATTCTGTCTTTACAATTTTAGGTATCCTGTTTGCCTCATACAGAACTTCACTCCTGGAAAGTCAAAAACTTTGATTTACAAAATCTAAATATACTTCCCAACCTGTTTGTATCCACTTGATCACATGTTGCTCCTACACAGGCAAATGTAGGTATTAGACATGTTGCTAGCAGGCAGTGAAAACATTTCATCAGGGCAGCATGGTCTCTGCCATACTGTGGGGCAGGTGAGGGGGTCAAAGAGAAGGAGACAAACCAAGGACTGCAGCAAGGCACATGCTTAAGATGGGTTTCATCAAGTTTTGGAATAAAGTTTAATAAATAACCACACTAAAAAAGCAGGACTTTCCTTCTTCCCTTCTCCCAACTTGTACTTTCATACTGTAGGAGCACCATAACTCTCATTGGTTTGTCTGTTTTTTTTCTTTGAGTGGGAATTCTGTAGATTTGGTGACTCCTCAGTAGTCCTTGCAATGCTGAGGGCAGAGTTCACAGTCTTTGGTGGACCTTGAGTCAGCTCCAAGTCAATGGCCGAGGCAGAACTAGGTTCAGCACTACCTTGTTCTCCTCTGCCACCTCTGCATCCCTGCAGGCACCTGCATCGCAAAAAAGAATTAAAAAAATAAAGGTGTTTGAAATACAGAGTTTTGTCTGTGTGAGAGAACATGGTGGTATTGGTGGGTAAAGTATAAGTTTGAGCCCTGCAGCAATTGTAGCAGATGTATAGTAGTTTGAGGTACTGTACAGACAGGAAATTTTTTGTCCCTCTATTTTTCTCTCTCTCTTTTTTTTTGTGTTTTGTTTTGTTTGGTGATAGGGAAAATTAGCAACAGTAACTGCATGTATTTCTATATGCCAGCACAGAGCATGAAGATAATCTGATGCTAAAGTATATCTTATTTATGAAAAGAAGAAAAAAGTGCATGGTTGATATAGGTGCATAGCATAATTATCTCTCATTTTTCCTTCTCGTTGCAGTTTGCAGACCACAAGGCTTGACGTTTAAAACCGGAACCTGAAATTGAACGTTGAAATGGCTAAAGAAGGTGACGCAGAAAGCCAAATTGCTAGTGATTTTCCTTTGATTTGCCTTTGAGAATTGAAATCTGTTCAATCCAATGCTGGATTCCTGGGGCACACAACCTGTGCTCTCTGTGGGTCCATTTCTGTTGTATTGTAATCCTTTGGCTTTGGATTTATGGAGTCAATAAGTTGTTTTTGAGAACAGCCATGATGCACACTCAGGAATATTATCCCGGTTCTCTCAGTGGAGATTAGTGTTTCTCATTTGCCATGCTAGTGCTGCAAGGGTGTTAGGTCAAAAGGGTTGGTTTCTGTTACTGCTCCTCAGGATGCACAATTAATTTTTCTCATATCTTCTAATCCAGCAGTCCAACATAAAAACTGTTGATTTAACTTAGATTTTTTTTTAAATTAGGTTGGAAATGTGGTTAAATGCTTTTTCACCTCTTGATATTTTATGGAGTATTGACAATGAAGCAAAATCCAATATCTGGTAAACAATAGTAACTTTCTAAAGAGGATTCTTTCCTTTTTTAAAAAAAATCATGTAATGTTAATTGTGGTAATGACTTGGTTTATATTTGGAATGGGAATAATTTTAATTAAAATATGTTTTGAATTTCCCTGATGTATTACTTGTTTTGACATTTGTGTGTACTAATTGCATTCAAAATCAGGTGATAAAATGACCCTGGATTTGTTTAAATTTTCCTGTGGAAAAATGTTGTCATTGATGTTTTTACTTTTGTCAAGAAAAAAAGATTTAAATTCTAATGTATAGCAACCTATCATGCAGTATTCAGGCAAGGAATATTCAGGTGCCTCAAGGCGCTGCTTGCTTGTGGTAGGTGGTGGGCGGCTGCCTGAAGCGCCCTGCAAAGTGTCATCTCTGAGCAGACCTCAGCCCTCCTGCCCGCTTCCCCGTGGCTTATCTAAATATCTGTGCTGAAGAACCACAGAAGAGGCACAAGTACTGCAGGTATTTGTTACAAGACTGACTGCACAGATCTTTCTCAGTAAAAACATTTAGCGTTCCCAAACTAAATGAAAATTAGATGTTCTGGGGGTGTCTTTTTGTTTTGTTTCTTTCTCAGATTGAGAGCTGACATGAAATGCGAATTCGGTGACTTCACTCACCAGCTGATTTGAGCTCGCCACCTGCCTTAGATTATGGTATGGAACACCCTAACACATGTGCAAGTGAGATGAGAGTGCTGTAGCTGAGACAATAGGGCTGTAGCTGGCTGCCAGTTGCTGTGAGCCCCGGTGGTACCCCAAGCAGGGATGACTGTTGTCTGCTGTTGCTGTAGGAGAATCAAGCTCTTGGGGTTTTGCACAGCTGGGGCAGAGGCTGAGCATGAGATGGAAATGAATGTATTTCATCTAGCCCTCAGAGTGGTTATTCTGAGTCATTCTTGGTTAGCCTGTCTGTAAGATCAGTGAAACATTGCAGATAGCTTTTTATTAACTTCCACAGGATAAATATTGTTGTTCTACTGTCCGCATCTGTTTTTGACTCTAAGCATAAGCAGCACATCAGTGTTAATTTCTGTGGAAAGACTTCAGCAAATAAGCGGGTCAGAAGTGGTGGGGCTGTGCTTTGCACAGCAGTGGTAGTGGTGCGGGCACATTGAACCTGTGTTGTGGTGCATCGGTCTGCTCTCCCTGAGGGGGCAACCAGCATGGAGGGTGCCTGTGCGCGTCTGCTTACAGATGACTGCAGAGCCCTGCCTGTGTTGTTGTGTGGCCCAGCACAGCGTCTGAGCTCAGGCAGTGCTTTAAATAGGTAAAGACTTCTATTTGTTGTAATTAAAGTTAAGACTGTGCTTTCTATACCAGATCAATACAGGATTTCAGTGTGAAGTACGGAGTACAAAGATAATTATCGACCTGTCTAGGCACTGTGCTTTCTGAGCAGCAATCAATTACGTATATTGACACAAAAACAGAGTAGTCTTGATTATCTAGAATGATTAAATCCTGGGAAAACTGAGATGAAGGTATGTATACCAAACAAACGCCTCATTTACTTAACTGCATTGCAAGTATACCATAAAAGCACATGCAAAATGAATAAGATGCTATAGGGGATGTAGGCTGGTAGGTGGTATGAAAATGAGGAGCTCTTGTTATTTTTTTGAAAAGCCGACAACCGGTGCTGAAGAGTCTCAAAGGCATCGTGGTTGTATTGTATGAGCTAGTAACTCTCCCTGCTCTTAGTGAAAACCATCTTCTCTTCCATATTAATCTCTCTCTTAAATTTTCACGTTTGTGGTTACAACATTTTTTGACTAAATATCTGATTTAATTTCTATGTTCCCAGTCTGGATAGTTTTTGTAGTGTCTTCAGTAACACGGATGTAATGAGTGATGAATATGGTCGGTTTTAGACAGGATAAACTGAACAGAAAGATGTGTCTGCATCTGTGAGGAATTGATGGGGAGATGCGAATGTCCCAGCGACCGTATGCACCCTTAGGTGGCAGTGATGGGCTGGAAACCCCTCACTCCCTGCTGGCGCAGAGTAACGCAATAAAAGGTGAGCATCTTGCATTTTTCCCCTTCCCTGGAGATTAGGAACGAGAAGTAATATTTCCATTATTCTTTATTTATCTGAATACCCTTGATCTATGTTTCCAAATTAGATCACAAATGTCAAAATAAGATTTCAGTGAAATGTCAAATACAGGAGCTGCCACACTGAAGTAATGCCTGTGCTTGGTTCATGGCTGGGTGGAAAGGGGAGAGCTGAGCCCCGGGAGGCTGAACTGCGGGTCAGGGCTGTGGAGGGGACAAGAAATCAACACCAATCAGTTCTGGGGCAGGGAGGGGTGGTGGTTATAGGCTGGGTCCTGCCATCCCAGTATGACCTGTGATCTTGGTGTAGCTCACTTTGGTGGACCAGGGGCTGAGCTGACCCCTTCCAGCCTTGCTCCAGCTCAGGAATTAATCTTCTTGCAATCAAGTCAATAAGCTTTAAGTGTTGCTACATAAAACAGCTTTACAATCAGGATACCCTTCCTTCTGCTGAGGTTTTCTCAGGTCTAGCGCAAAACCACGAGTGCTCTGTTAACCACAGCTGCTGTCTTTGCATGGACCACTCATGAGGATGATCCTCTGAAGAGCTACGATTTGAGGGTTGGGGAGGTCTGCTTTCCTTTATACCATTTATTTGGGGAAGGGACAAATGAAACTGCTAGCAGCTAAATTCTCACTGAATTGTTCAATGATTTTCTTAACACACACAATATCGGCCTGAAGTTGGCTCTAAGGTTGCCTTCCCCACGACTGGGGGCTGGCCTCTTGTTGGACCTGCCAGAAACTGGTCTCCTTATGGGGAGGGGTTGAAGTGAATGGTAGGAGAATGCAACAAGCTGACTATACATCTGAACAGAAGATAATCCTTTGAGATCTCTAAATATCCCTTCTTTCTATGTCTTTCCTGGAGTCATCCCATCTGCCCCCTCTCACGGGCTGACTCCAGATCCATCATGCATTTCACATACCACATTCTTTCTGAAGTTAAAAGGATGCATTTCATCCTTTGATTAGATTTTGCAGATGTGGATTCAGGTTGCATTACACTTCGAGGGGAATTTCTTTTTTTATGTTGAGGCCCAGATCACACTTGTATTGAATAAAGATTACATTTATTCCCTGGAAAATAATTGTAGAGTGCTAAGCCTAGAAATAAGACCAATTAAACTGTGTCTGTTCTGAGAAACTGCAGCCTGCAACGTGGCTTAATGGCGTTAGGGGGAAAGTGGAAGTGCTGCAGTGTGGCAGCTCCTGTACAAAATTCGGCCCTGGTGTTGCAGGTCTGATCCTTGCCCTGTGAATTAGATGTGCTGCAAATCTGCATGGTGGGGATGCCAAAGGCAAAATGGTCCTTGTCCTTACACTGGTGGGAATCTACTAAGGAGAGTGGGTGTCTCAGGAATAAATGTCTGCCCTTCCTTTTCTGTAGTGCACCGACTCACTGGCCCAGGTCAGAAAGTGAAAAGCAAAAGCCCCGCTGGAGCATAGCGTCATCCGCTACAGACAAAAGTGGGCACGTGCTTCTGTGCACAGCGCCGCTGGTACATGTTTCAGAAGCGTTTCTCCGTTTGGGGTGCCCCACTCATGCACATGCACGAGCACTCAGGAGCAGAAGCAGCAGCTCACTGCTCCTCAGCAAGCCTCCGCCCTGCCGGCTGCGAGGAGGGGGCTTCTGCTGGAAAAAGCTAAATCCCGAATCACAGGGATGGCTTCATTTTTGCTGCAGGTGATGCTCTTGCCTTGCTGGCTGTGGAGCTGTGCCCGCCTTCTCCCTCTGTCCTGGGTGCTGCTGGGGGGGCACGGCTTGTTTGCTGTTTACTGGGCTTGGCTATAAGAGTTAGTGGACTGTGCTGAAATAAAATGCCACCAGTGCAACTTCTGCTGAAAAACTTTGGCCTAGAATGTAATTTTAAGCTGTATACAAGAGTCATCCCCATCCGGCTGTTTTCTGACTTTTTTTACCGTCCTGAAGGAGAAGAGGTGCTGCTTTTCCCGTACCAATTGACTGCCTTGCACCCGAGGCAGGTGTGGCTGCAAACCCCCCCTCTGTGGCCAGGAAAGGTATTTGGGGAAGGGGATTTCCGTCCTGAACCACCTCTGGAAGATGCCAGGAGCAGCCAGGTCACGCTGCGGGAGGTGCTGAGCAGCGTGGGACTGGGCGAGCAGTGACATTCTCCGTGGGAGGTTTTGGGACCTTGCTCCCCTTCCCTGCAGCGCTGCATGGGGGAGAGGCAGCGGCCGGCTCCCGGCCCCAGCATTACAAATGGCAGCAAGTGCAGGAGTCAGCACCTCCCGCGCTCTCTCCCAGCCTAGATTCCCCTAACTTGAGCTTTTTTTGGCTTTTTTGGCTGCAGTTGCAGTTGCAACCTTTTGATGAAGGTCTTTTTTGTTTTCCAGCTGTAGCACAGCCAAGAGCTGTACCACATTAGTCAGAACAGTTCTTAGAAACTTCCAGCTTTTACTTACAGGAAAGTTGCTGTAATTGAAATCTGCTATTTGTCATAATTACATAAACTTGCATATATAGAAAATGTCAAGCGATACAGTGCATACTTTCCATTTCAGCGGAGATATTCGCCCATTTTGCAGGTTTGCAAACTGGCCCTTGCTGTCACCACTGACCATGAACACAGAAATATGAAGATGCTTCATCTTCTCCTGCTGTTGTAGGTCTGTGTCAGAGCACGAGCTGGGAAACGGCAGTTCAGTATCCTGCGTATTTGTGGATTTAGTGGACTGAAAGGCATTAACTCCAGCAAAGCAGTTGCACTTTCGTATTACTACGGCTTCCTAACCATTGCAGGCATGTCTTTGTGAAACACTAAACTG